TTTTTTTTTTTTTTTTTTTTTTTTTGAGCAGTCTTATTGTAATGGGGCCTGTTACAGCGCATGGAGAGCACAACACAGGAAGGAGCTCTCCCAGAGTAAAACTCCATTGGTCTTATCTTTATAATTAGAAATAATTAACTAGAACATATTTTTATCTTGAATGTAGTTTCCTAGGAAAATCTTTAAAATATCTGTGTGCTTTTTTTGGGGGTGGGTACCAAGGATTGAACTTAGGGCCTTGTGCTTGAGAGGCAGGCATGGTGCCACTGAGCTAAATCCCTTGTTTTCTATATGCCATTTTCATGAGAGTAGCATATACTATTAAAATGTAGACTCCTGATTTTTTTTCTACAAAAGGCTTTATTTTTTATTTTATTTATTTATTTATTTATTTGTCCAAGATTTGGGAGGGTGCTCCAGAGGTGAAAAACTGCCTAGTAGCTGGAAGGAGAGGGTTAGGCCAAAGCTGCTGGATGAGCAGGAGCCCCTCAGTGGCTGCTTGGGCTCCAGGGCCTCCTAGCCATGCTTGAGGGTGAGCCTTTCAAAGAGGTACTCGCCCAGCCCAGCCTGGGGGCTTCCAGCCTGCGGAGGTTAGTGAGGCGGTCGCCTGTCTTCTCACTGAGCTTCACCTGCTCATCTAGAAAGTGGTCCTCCGGGAAATCACAGAGATGGGGTCTGTCTTGGTAGAGCGCATGGCAAGAAGATCCAGAAGAGCTTGGTTCAGGTTCTTCTCCAAGGCCAGGGCAGCTTCCATGGCATCCAGGGTTTTACCCCACTCATCTTCAGAAGGTTTCTGCACATCTTGGAAGAGCACTCGGCCACCGCCCAAGTTTTGTATCTTCAGGAGATGCTTAGTGCCCTTGTGTCCCTCCTTGGCCAGCTTGCAGAATAAATGGCCCACACCCACCAGAGCCACATTGTCATGGTCAAAGTAGTAACCCAGAGAAAGGTGCAGATTCACCAGGTGGTTGAGGACAGCCTCCACCTCGGTGGAATAATCCTGATGAATCTGAGAAGTCATGGCTGGTCAGCAGTAAGGAGCTATCCACAAATGAATGGTGTTGGCTGGTCCTGGAAGCAGGACACAGGCGAGGTGATGGTCCCATAATTTGTAACGATGGAGGGTGAAAAAGAGGGAGTCCTGGGGTCTGTTCCGTCCAAACACTGTTGAAGCAAAAGACAGATCCGCAAGATCTCCAGAAGTGCTGCTCTCACTTCTTTCCAGAAAGTTAACATACTAATTTCTTTGTTTTCCAAGTATGCAGATTTTTATGAGTAAAAAACTTTGTTAGGCCGTGAATTTTAAAATGTATTTTATGAAAGTGATTTAGAACATGGTCCTTAAACCTGGCTGCAGATCTTTGTTTACTTGAGAGGGGTGATTTTAAAAGAATAGAATGCGAACTTTGCCTCATATATATAAATAAGCTCCTTCGCATGGAGCTTATACATCTTTTTTTTTTAAAGCTTCCACTATACTTTTCTAAAGCCATGATTTGAAATCATAGTTTAAAGCAATAACTTTCAGAGAGAATAAAACACTAATACTGTCTTATTTATAACCTGTAGGTGGAATAGCCCTTTGAGAGAATTGCATCCTAACCAGTCATGGGGCTTTGGACTTGATGAGGTAAAGCACATTGCCATGTTATCTTCCTTATGAAATTACTCATGTTTTATCATATTTTAATATTTATAGTGTACAGTACTTTAATATAAGGTTAACTTTTATTAAAATTTTTTTCTAGGTACTCTCATATTTTCTTACAATTGCAAAATCATGGCTTAGACTTAGAAATAAAGACAGCTTTTAAACTGTAATGCCCTTGAGACAAGTCAATATATACTCATTTTTTTAATGTTTTCTCTAACAACTATAAAATTTCTTGAAATATAAAAATTATTTAGGTTCTAATGTGTTATTTTGAACATAGACATTTAAGAGTATGGAAACATCCAGAAACATTGGTTATGTAATGTTATAATTCCTCATAATAAGGCTGTATTGTAACAAATTAGAAACTTTTTGTATTTTTGCAAATAAACTCACACTACATGCATGTCAAGAAAACTGGCAGCTTAAAAGTTGATAGGGCTAATCAGAAAAATAAAAGGCTTTTGGTGGAGCCTTAAAGGAAATCAGGTTCAATGAAGAAACTCTTTGACTAGAACAGGGATGGAGTTTTTAATGTGGGATGCCTCATCGGGGTCAGAGGTAGAGTGGAACCTTGCTTAATTATTAGATGTTACCAGAAGAACCAAGCCCTTGCTGGCCACATGGGTAGCAGCGCAGGAGGTCAGGGCGATGAAAGGCTGTATTAACAAATTAGAAACTTTTTGTATTTTTGCAAATAAACTCACACTACATGCATGTCAAGAAAACTGGCAGCTTAAAAGTTGATAGGGCTAATCAGAAAAATAAAAGGCTTTTGGTGGAGCCTTAAAGGAAATCAGGTTCAATGAAGAAACTCTTTGACTAGAACAGGGATGGAGTTTTTAATGTGGGATGCCTCATCGGGGTCAGAGGTAGAGTGGAACCTTGCTTAATTATTAGATGTTACCAGAAGAACCAAGCCCTTGCTGGCCACATGGGTAGCAGCGCAGGAGGTCAGGGCGATGCCTGCCTACTGACTCAAAACGGGCTCCAGTTTCTACTGAGAACTAAGGCAGAGACACAAGAGCTAAGTCACAGGTAAACAAACCTCTTGCCTGTTGACAGTTGAGAATGAGAAGATAGCGGTGGTCCTATGATCTTCTTATTGGAGATGGAAGAGAATAGGAGGACTATAATTATTTATCTTGTAAACAAGATTTAATTATGATTGCTTAAAGTGGGAAGGTAATTGTTAGAGAAATAGCGGCACGTGGAAGAATGTAAACACACGAAGAAGTGGTGGTGTCACATTAGGAAACCCAATAAAAGGGGGGGAAATGGAATAGAAGTCCTGCATAACATGTAAGGAATGAAATCTTAGAAATTATGAAAAATTTGTTGTGAGAGAGCTGATTAAGATTTGAAGAGTATCAAATTGAGAAGTGAAAATGTATACATCGTGTAAGAAACAAGTACAGAACATAGCAACACAGGTTAAACATAAAAGAGCAAAAGATACCTGTAAATAAAATGAAGAAAGCAGTGCCAATAAGAATGCAGTAAAAAGTTCATTCAACAAAGAACAGAAGGGCCGGGGGTTTAGCTCAGTGGTTCGGCCCCCTGCCTCAAAAGCACAAGGGCCCAAGTTCGATCCCCCGCACCAAAAACAAAACAGAGTAAAAGATAGAGAGCTGCTGATGACAGGAACCTTGAAGGCTTGCTGTGCAGCCGTGAAGCCGGGATGCACTGGAGGATGAGCAAAGTCCCTGAATAAATTACTTCTCATCTGAAAGGATCTTCTCTGTTAGCTTTTTGGGGGAAATTTAGGATTAAACCCAGGATTAAGTCACCAACTTGCCCAGGCTGGGCTTGACCCTGTGATCCTTTTTTCTCAGATGTCCAGATTGCTGGTGCTACCTGGTCGTCTTAGTTATCTTTCATGAACATATTTGAAGTGGATATTGGTATACATGTGTGCTTTGGAGTCTGTAGAGCTTTCTCAGTCAGGTTTCCCAGTGTGCTATTATGGCTCCATTTTTTCTTATTCTCCATGCAAGTTTAAGGTTTGAAAATGTCAAGAGGAGAACAGTGGACTTTTAAATCATGAAGTAGTGGGGTTAGAGAAGAGGCTGTGCTCCATTGAGCTATTCAGGGACTCGTTACCTTGAAGTATTTGTTGTGGATGTTGATATCAGCCAAGGGAGTTGAAGGTGAATGGTGATGAAAATTCTTGTGGGCCCCCATCAGAAGTAATGTACATTACTGTCTTCCCATAATCAGAAATTAAACTACATGTCCAGACCAACTGTAGTGGCGACTAGGAAGTTATTCTAGCTGTATGTCCAGAAAGAAGCGGGTTTGGTGACTAGACAGTTTGTCCTTTATCTTATTTGAGTTAACTCAGTCTCCTATCAATGGAGAATGCATAGAGAACATTTTCTTTAAATCCATGATATATTTGCAAATATACTCCATGTGGTAGGACATTAAAAAATCTAAAAGATAGCAAAGGAGCACTTCATATGTACATTTTCTAATCAAAATTCAGAAAGTTTGAAACTAACCAAAACACACTGCTTAACTTCCTTTAACTTCCTGGAAATTGAGAAACTCTCTGAATTGTTTTTTAAAGGAAATAAAAATAAATTACAAGTTATGTAGAGTGATGAAAACCAAGACCAATATTGTATTTTGTAGAAAATGTATACTGCTAAGCTTTTACTACTTTAAAAAATACATTAAAAAATGACTGTGCAACTTAAATCAGAAAGAATAAGATCAAAGTACTCTAGGATTTTTTCTTTTTTCAATGCACATAGTGCCTTTTATTTTTCTCAGTAATTTATTTCTTAGCAAGTGTCTTTTCTGTTTCAAAACCAGTTTAAATTTCATTTTATGGTTCTCAGGCTAATTTTTCTTTGTGAAATCTTTGTTGAATTAAAGTAATATAAAGGAAGAATATTATAAAAAATTGATGGTATTGATAGAGCAGTTATGAGTGAATATTATGTATACTTGAAAATTGTTAATGTTTTTGTTTTCTTCTAGATTCTGATGGAAGGAGGAACACGTTCATTAAATGGCATGCCAACATCTACTAAGAAAATCTGTCAGTATAATTGTATAAGTGAATTTTATGCTTTTAGAAAACTAGCAATTAAATAGAAATCTGTTAAACTAAAAGAATTTCAAAAATTTTTACCAGGAGATAAGTATTTTCTAGATAGTTTATATTTGGAATGCGATTGGCTTTTTAAAAATACTTTATAGTTTTTACAACATATTATATATTTTATATATATATATATATATGATGAATACACATAATATAAATGTATAGTTTAAGAAATAATGAAACCAAATACCTTATATTTGACTGTGTAGTAATAAGTACTGTATTTCTGAAAATATCCTCAATTCCATTTCCTATCCTGCCCCCTAGAGGTAACTATTATTCTGAGTTTGTTTTTGTTTTTGTATTTGTGTGATTACATCACACAGACTTTCCATGGCTTAATTTTAAGCTTTCTGCATACTGAAGGAACTTTATATATTTTCTGCAACTTTCTTTTTTTTTATCTAGTATTATATTTTGAGGTTCACCCTTTGAAATTTGTGCCTCTGATACACTTTTTACTGCATTTATTAGCATTCTGTATTTATAGCATTTTGGTTTGTGAATGTGCTGAAATTTTTGCCTTTGATCTTCTGGCAGTGGGTATTTTAAGTACTTTTGTCTTTGCTGCTCTTGGTAGTTTTTCTGGTACACATTTACACAATTCTTCTAGAGTAATATTCCCAGGAGTAGTATTGCCAGTTCATACCATAGGCACATCTGTACCTCTTTGGATATGTGAAATTATTTTATAAAATATCTATGTCTCTAAACCTACCACCAGCAAAGGATAATCTCAGTCTCCACTACCATGCCAGTTGTCTATCATTGTTGTTCATCTGATATCTCATTATGGTTTTAATTCATATTTTTCTAAATACTAATTAGGTTAATTGGCTATCTGTGTCTCATCTGTGAATATACTTATCTTTTTCCTGTGTTTCAGTAAATCTGGTTTTTTTATGGGGTGTGTCTTTTCTGTATCTGTATCTGTCTAGAGCTGAATCTGCCATGTTATCTTTTCCGAATTCTGGATACTAACTGCTTATAGGCTTTATTTGTATCATATACTTCCTATTTGAGTATTTTCGTTCTATGCTTACATTTTATGGACAGAGTTTCATATTTAGTTAACTTTTTAGATATTTTGTTTAGAACAGTTCATGTTATTCAGTGTGCTAGGATATCCTAGACACCTTTGGACTTTTTAAAATTTAATTTTAAAAGTATATAAAACAGTCTGGCTTTTCCTCTTTCTTTCAGTAGGAGTGTTTTTTGTTGGTTTGTGACTTTCATTACAGTCTCTCTTCACCCCCCCCATAGAACCTAAAACATGTAAAAACATATGCATAGCCATGAATTTTAGTTCTCTGTATTTCTCACTCAAAATAAATACTTTATGAATGAAGTGAATGTGTTTAATAAAATATCCTGTGGGTTCTTTCATGTCATTACTGGACTGGATATTTTCATCATCATTTATGATTAATAATCAGTTTGTATGTATGGACTTGGACTGTAGTTCATTCAGGCAGTGTCCTGTGGGTGAGCCTTTAGGCTCTTTCCGGTATCTTACTCTTACAAGTTCTAGAAGTGAACAACTTTGTGTATATATAAATTGGCCCCCGAAGTCTCACGGTGTTTGAAAGGTGAGGATTGTAGGAGCGCTGTAGCTGAGTTTCTGTTAGGAAGTGGGGTCTGGTTGGAAGAGGTGAGTTACCGGGGGCTTGACATGAAAAGGTGCAGCTCCCTCCCTGGCTCCTCCCTCTTTCTCTGCCTCCTGGCTGCTAGGAAGTGAGCACCTTTCTTGTGCCGGAAGTTTTTACCATGTCCTTCCTGCTTTGGAGCCAGACCACTACAGACCAAAAATGTGGGCCAAAATAAACTCCTTGAAGTTGTATGTGACGGATGTTGTGTCTCAGCCATGAGAAAAGTATGTATTTCTTTTGGTAGAGTTGCACGTTAGGGCTAATTGCTGGGAGTGGGATTTCTTAGTCTGAGTAGAGGCACACTAGTATTTGTTGCATAATGCCACATTTCCATTTGGACAGATTTTACCAAATTCCTTGTTTACACCTCTTGGCAATTGGACCAGCAACTTCATATTATTCCATAAACTCATCAGCAGGGATTGTGGCCAAATTTAGGAATTTTTGGAATTCAGAGATGGATAGAAATACTAGTTTGCGTTTCTCTGTGAAGTTATATATCTTTTCAAAATGTTCTCTTCTTTTTCAAAAATGTTACATTTCTTTTTCTGTGGACTCTTCATCTTTTGACCAGTTGAGTTTGTTTTTTTTTGTTTTTTTTTTCTTTTCCTTTTCTCTTGATATTTGGGAGCTCTTGTTTTTTTATAGCTCTTTATTGTTTTTACAGCTCTACAGTGCTGGCTGGCCTGGGATTCTGTGTAGCTCAGGTTGGGCTGAATTCAGGATCTTTTTGCCTCAGCCTCCTGAGTGCTGGGATTTTAGGGGTGTACCACCACACTCTGCTTCATACTGGCTTTTGATGTGATTTGTTTTTACTCTGCTTATAATATCTTTTGCTTTGCAAAAGACTTAGCATTTTTATGTAAATTATCTTTTATCAGGATTTCTTTTTTTTTTTTTTTTTTTTTTTTTTTTTTTTTTGGTACTGGGGATTGAACTCAGGTCCTTGCATTTGCAAGGCAGGCCACCGAACTGCTGAGCTAAGTCTCCAGCCCTATTAGGATTTCATTAGAAACTCTACACTCAAAGGTTATAAATAAATTCACCATATTTTCTTCTGGAATTAGTTTAATTTTATAGTTTTACATTGATATATTAATATATTTGAAGTCTATTCTAATTTCAGTGTGAGATATATATCACTCCAAGTTTCCAAAATAGGTCTTTTATTAAGTATTTGTGACCTTACCTTTTAAAATATACTGTTTCCATCTTACCTTCTCCATTATTGGATTTTCTTGATTGTTCCATTGATCTTTCTGTCCTTCACGTGCCAGTACCATGCTTTTGTGATTGTTTTATAGTATGCTTACTTTTTGGAAGAGTTATGCCTGTTAAAAAGCTGTTATTCCTCTAGATTATTTTTTCATATAAACTTTGAAATCCATTTGCCTAACTCTAGTAGAAACGTTTTAATGTTTATTAGGTGACTATTAAATTTATGTATTTATTTAGTGTGAATTGTCATTGTCCTTCCTAAGGAGGTGTTCCATTTCTTCAGCTGAATTTTTATTTTTAGTAGTCACATGAAACATCTGTAAGCACAGTCTTTAAATTTTTCTCAGATAGATTCTGCAAGTTTCTTTAATTAAACTAGTCATTTTTAAAATTTTTTATCGGCACTTTACTGTGAATATATATGCCACATCTCTATACTAAGTAAGATTCTGGGTTTTGGGCTTAGGTGCATATGTGTTAATTATTTTACCAAGAATTTTTCTGGGAGATGATTTTGGGAAACCGTTAGGGGAAAAGTGATTCTTCGCATCTGTGGGAATAATTATTGATTTCTTTTCATAAATTTAAAAAAATTATTGTGGTCAAAACAATGTAAGGTCAAATTCATCCTGCCAGTGGTTCTCTATGTGCGGCACAGGCTTGTGCCCCCCCACTGTGTTGTGCAACAGATTCTGAGTCCTCTTTACCCCATTGTGCCTCTCCACTCTCCAAGCAACACCTTCTGTCCACCTCCTCCCCCCGTCCCAGCAACCTCCATTGTACTTTGTGTTCTATGCATCTGACTTCTTTGGATCCCTTATACAGTATTTAACTTCTTGTGATTGGCTTGCTTCTTGTAATGTCCTTAGTATTCATTGTAGCATACACTAATGGGGTTACCTTCTTTTTAAAACTTGAATAATATTCCATTGTATTCTAAGGTGTGATTGAAAAAATGTGATGAATGTTTAAAGTTCTTAAAATGTGTTACAGCAGAAGACACACTGTGATCAGTGCCCCAAAATACTTCCTGTCACTTCGAACAAACTTATCCCATCATTCTTGCCATTTCTTGCTTCATTTCTGAAGCAGTTCTGGAAGTTCTGCCTCTGAGAGTGTGTTTAGTTGCACTGTTGCTGCTACCCTGAGGTCCTGAATTGATTAAAAACATTTCGCTTTCAGGACCATTTGACTTTGGGGAAGAGCCAAGAGTGACGGTGCCAGACCTGGTGAATAAGGGGGATGAGGAACCATAACGTTCTGCCTTTCCCCGGGTAGCACGGGCAGCAGCGTGCGATGTTGTTTAGATCGTACCTTGTAAAGTCACTCATGAAGAGGACTCCAGAACTGCTTAGATAGTGGCAAGAACAATGGGATAAGCGTATTTGAAGCAAGGGGGAGTATTTTGATGAGGATTCATGGCAGTATATCTTTTACTATTTTTATACAGTAATACGTTTTTATACATCATTGAACAATACGTCCTCGACTTAAAAATGAGCTCCATTTCCGGAAAATCATTTGTTAAGTCGGATTCCCTCATAACCCAACAGTGAGTCTCATACAAATACACCTGTGAAAGTTCTCAAGTAGAATGCTTGTAAGTTGGGGACTTTTTATTGTGATCATACGTCTATATACAACCTTTATTTATTCATGAATCAATGGATATTAAATTCTGTCACACATTGTCTATTGTGAATAATGCTGCATACAAGTGAAGATCTCACTTCTAGATCCTATTTTTACTTTTTGTTTATATATCCATATGTGAGACTGAGAGATCATATAGTAGTTCTACTTTTTAATCTTTTGAAAAAACTCCATAATATTTGCTGTAATGGCTATATGGTTTTAAATTCCCTCAAAAAGAGCAAAGAGTTTTAATTTATCTACTTCCTCACCAACACCTGTTTCTTTGATCATGGCTATTATTATTTTGTAAATTAATTTTACTTCTACATTTTAGATATATATAAGGATCACATTCATCATACGGAATTTGTACCTGTACATGATGTGTCTTGATTCTTTTTTTCCCATTTCCCTCCCCTCCCTTCAACTTCT